CCTCCCCTAATATTCTTGATGACACACTTGCTACTGCCCTTCTGGCTGGCCTTGTCAAAGCCAATTCTTTCCCAAGTGGATAGAAAATGCTGTTTAACAGACCATAAATTACCTGTGCTTCTCATCACACTGTTTGTCTCACTGTTACTGAAATTCACTGAGTCCACCCAAATTTCCTGGCTTTATTGACTGCCGGTATGGTCTTAACACCATTGCCCTCCCCTCCCCTCCGTTCCAGCCTTTTGCACTAGGACACTTCACCACACCAGACACAGAAGATTGTCTGCAGGAAAACCCTATTCAGGTATGAGCAGGGATGGGCAAGAATGGAGACACAGAGTAACTCTATGCATACATGGACACTGATTGATGGATGGATGGATTGATTGATTGATTTATATCCTGCCTTTTTCCTACAAAGGGCTCAAGGCAGCTTACATCATTCTCCTCCTCCATCTTATCCCCACAACAACAACCCTGTGACGAAGGTTGGGCTGAGCATCTGTGACTGGGCCAGAGTCATCCAGTTGGCTCCATGGCTGAGCGGGGACTAGAACCCAGGTCGCCTGAGTCCCAGTCCCATGCTCTTAACCACTACGCCACACTGGCTCTCACATGATAATCCAGCCCTTTGCATAGACATGCACATGTGCAGCACACATACCCGCAGTAGGGAGGCCTACGTGTGTGCATGTTCCGCACAGTTCAGTGCCTCCCCCCCCCCCGCCAATCTGCTGAGTTAAATGCCATGCGGAACTCTAAGCATGACAGAGCAACAGATCTATGATTCTGCATGCTACTAAGAAGGAGCAGGCACACGAGGGAACCATTGCTGCACATCAAAGGTGGGAAAGGTACAGTCGTATAATGTTGGTAGCCAGAAGCTCCCCTCAGTCCCAGCCAGCATAGCCAATGTCAAGGGTGATGGGAGTTGTAGTCCAACAACATCTGGTAGGTCAGATGTTCTCCATCCTTCCTGTAAAGCAAAGTTAAGGATCCCTTTCATTCATGGTACAGTAGTGGCAGAATTTGGGTTGCATGTTGGGTTTTGTCTCAACCTAGTTCGGATTCAAGTCTGTGTAATGCAGACCTATTGCATGCACAAAAAATGGCCATCTGCAGAACAGGCTGCATAGCAGATGGAACAAGAAAGGGCAAAATAAGATTTTATTTCCCTTTTCAAAATCTAATGCTCCCCTTAGTTACATAAGTGTCTGGACACAAAAGCAAAGCTTTATCTTAAAATAAAATATGTGTGCATTAGATAATGCTAGTTTCCTGCAGCCATGACTAGGCTAACTTCTTGGAAGTATCTGCTGTCAGAAATGCAAATGTCAGAGTCATAAAGCTATGGCACAGCAATAAAAGAGCTCTATTTACAGAGTGTTCTAAGGCTGTTGCTAAATAAATCGTTCATGAGGACATTGTCTTTTATGGGCTTTTTAAAAAGTATGTTCTTTGTTATTGCTTATTCTTGCAAAGTATGTACACATGATAATGCCAAGCATACTTTGCTGTGAGGTGTTGCTGCACCAGGCCAATTACTGTTAAATAACAGCCCTTTCTAGAATTATAACAGAAACTGATGTATGTCATTCTAAATGTACAAAGTGATAGAAAGGCTATTTCTCTGAAAAGGGTGGAGTATTCAATGGGTGGCTAAGTATGAATTAGTTTTGCACAAAGTCCTGCTGGCTTAAGAATGCCTCTATCGATTTCTGTCTTTATATTAAGTCTACATCATCCAATTCTGTATTGAACTAATAAGCATTTGAGAATAGATTACATAAGTCTGCTAATTTTGCCTATGTTTGCATAACTGCACCAAGATGTTGGCCCCTTTTTAAGTTTTTGCTCAGTTGGAGATAAGTTGTTCTTAAGTTTTCATTATATACTGTGTTGCTGAACATGTGCTTATATTAACACAGGATAAAAATGTCCCCCTCCAAAATACACTGCTTCCATACTCAGGTGACACAAACTGGATTTAAATGAACTTCTTAGCTCAAATTATCTGAAAGAGCAAATTCCACAGAGAGAAAACTCAAGGTGCTTGCAGTGTGTGGGGTTTCAGTGTGTGTTTTGTTTACTCCCACGAACAAAACAAGAAAAAAAGCTATTTTTCTTCTCAATAAAATGCTTTAGACCAATTCATCTGGAGAGAATGAGGTTGGAGAAGGCCACTGCAGAACACGCTGTATATTGAATTGTATGTGTGTGAGAAGAAAGAATCTGGCTGCTCTTTGTTGAATAGCTGAAGCGTTGAAGATTGTGTGCAGAGAGTCCCATTCATAAGCTCTTGGGCCTCTTTGCCCTTTTGTCATTGCAGCAAAATAGCTATACATGGCTGAATACAAGAAAGCAAAAGCCAGAATTCTCTGTAGTCCAGAATCAAAGATGTCACCTACAACGAAAATAAGAACATTGCACAAGGGCTTGTGAAAAGTTGTCTCTGAAATAGTTCTATCATAACGTGGCAACCTGAACCACAGCGTGCTCTTTGAAACTGGAAGCTGCTGTTGAAAGAAACCATCATACCTCACTGCAAACAGAGTGGAGTCATTTTGCAGAACTGGCTTCTACAGACACCAGCCTTTATGCATGAAGACTGAAGAAAGAGGGACTATAGCTTGGGAGCAGAAGGTATCCCTTGCTAGCAGAAAGGTCCAGCTTCAATTTCGTGTGTCTCCACTTTGAAACAGCATCAGGGAAGGCTAGGGCTCACTGGTAGAGCACCAGCTTTGCATGCAGAAGGCCCCAAGTTTAATCTTTGGTTTCTCGTCCAGGTAGGCCTGGAAATATTCCTGGCTAAAATCCTGCAGACCTGCTGCAAACCAGTGTTGTTGATACTGGACTAGGTGGGCAGTTTCCTATTTTTTGATCAAGGACCTCTTCCCGAGTCCTGAGACAGCTGTTGTCAGCCAGTGTAAAAGATACTGAGCTTGGTTGTCAAAAAGTTTGACTGGTGCAAGGCATCCTCCTATTTTGCAGTGTAGTATAAATTTCCTTCTTTCCAGTGCATTTCTCTGAAGTGTTGAGTTGCTTACTTTTGACAATCCTCTCTTTCATGGCAAAAGTTGGCCTGTTGCATAATATGCTTAGTACAATTAATTTGTCTTCACTTCCAAATAGTTTCATACTTTTTAAGGGTTTAACAAAGAGTTTAAATCTTTTCATTTCTTTCTCTGTAATTGCAGGTTTGCTTTGTGAATCTGGATGCACACAAAGATGTTTGCAATGATGAACTCATGAAAGAGGCAAGTGCTCAGCTAATACATACAGAAATGGCTCCTATTACATACTGGAAAATAAACAGAAAACTGAAGGGATGTCTGGACCATTTCCCAGGTTGGGGTGGGGACAGAGAATGGAACACCACTTTGATGATAAATGTATCCCATGTACAAGACCACTAATGACTCTAAGAACCCACACACATACTTCCAGCAAATTTGAACTAGCCTGTAGTCTCATGGATAGGGAGGGAAAACAGCTCCAAACCCTTCATCCGAGCCATTGCCTTAAGTCAGGACATCTTATACCTTTCCATAGTACATACAATCTGCTCAAGTTCACCAACTCATGACAGCAGGAAACAGCTTGACCCACCAGCAGAGTACCCCAGTCCCTATCTCTATAACAAGCAGAAAATGACAGGTCCAGACAGAGATGGACTTCCGGGAAGCTGAGAGGAAGCTAGAAATGTATCACCCTGCCTTTTTAAAGGCTCCATGCCATTCATCGATGTATATCCGAACTTACAATCACTTACTAGAGAAACTAGAGGATGCAGCAGGGGGATGTCAGGGGTCTCTGTTCTGGAAAACTTTGCCCTACAGTATTGCCAGTTTTTAACTGGCTCGGTGCTTCAAGCACAGAGGCCCCTTTTTTGACTGACAGCCATCTCAATGAAGGTTATCTGGATCCAAACCATGGCCCAGAGGTCAGAATTTATTTAAGATGCCCTTGATATGTGTCACTGGAGGCATATAGGCAAGCAGCTGAATAGTATGGCTGCCCTGTGGGCATTGACCTTCCCAGGAGAACCTCAGGTCAGCATCACTATATTCTACCTCAGAGGTAGGAAGAAGGAATTTACCCACTGTGAAGCAGTACTCCCCAGGGACAATTCCTAACAGGAGACTGTCCAAAATTTTCTTGGCCAACTTCAAGGAAGGTGATCCCATAAATACTTAGACTACATTTTCTTGTGCTTAACTCTTTGTATAGTTACTTTTCCTGATATTTGGCTAAAGCTGACTTTCAGCAATTTAATGCTGTTTCTTGCCTCTCAGGATAGAATGAATATACATATATTTCTTTTCAGCATCCTTTTTAACACTTGCAAACTGTCATTGCTTCCCTCGTTAATCTTTTATCTGAGCTAAATATATCTTCTAGATCTTTTGTCAGCCTTGCATTTTCCCACTGAAGCTAAGCATTTCCATCATTACACTCCATGTAAAAGCATGCTCAGGGACCTTTCCTTTGCAAGCTTGGCAACAATCCTTTCCTTGGTAAAATCCAGTTAATTCCAGTTCTGGCCCTACCATTAGGCAGAGTGAGGAGACCACCTCTGGTAGCAGATACTAAGGAATGGGGAATGATCTTGAGATGCTGGAGGTCAGAGCTGTGTGTGCCACACAACCCATACTGCACCCCTTCAGGTAGTCTGCTGTCCACAGGTGGAGTGAAAGACACTGCTCAATTGCCAAGATGAAGTTAAGGGTCAGTTCCCAGTCGAAATGGATTCTATGCACAGAATGGTGGAGGTGCCATCTTGTCCTTCAACTCAGTCAGAAACATGTCTGGTTGACTGATATTAACTAGAGTGTTTTCCCACCACCTTGGTGTTAATGGATGGCATTACAGTTTAGCTTGTGGCATGCAGGCACATTTTCAAGCTGCAACAGTTTAACTACATGCAAGATACAGGTAATGTAAGAATTCCTGGCAAAAGCAAATGTGTCCTGTGCAGATGGCAAGGACAGCAGCACTGGGGGCTGAGCCAGCAAGCACAGCCTTTCCTTTGCATACATTCGTGAACACCCCGAGGGGAGTTTGTAGAAGAAACTTTATTTATTTATTTATTTATTTCCACATCTGTGCCTCCCCATAACCTGAAGTTTCTCTGGGTGGCTTACAAATTCTAGAACAGCACAGAATACAATAATAAAGCAATAAATAAAGCAATACATAATAGATAAAGCATACACTTGTGATTTAATATACACTACAGCAGCCTTCCACATCCCAGTGGGATGGTGTCCAGATGGGGTGAACTGTGATTCCCATCATCCCCAGCCAGGCCATACTAACTGGGTATGTTGAGGAGGTTACAGGCCAATGCACGCGGAGGTCACCATATTGTGGAAAGGCTGAACTAGAGGACTAAACAGGCAAACTTTGATTAGTGCAATTGCTGGAAAACCATCTGGGTCTTGGTTCCATATGTTCATCTACTCTTCTTGTAACTCTTGCCTCATAAGCACTCTATTTTTAGACCAGCCAGCATCTTAACCCCATGTGAAGTTCATTCCAATACTTTTTGAGTGCATGCCAGCAGCTCCGTTTATTTTATACCTGATGGCACAGCTGGAAAAAGAAATGTGGGTTTCCTCATGTTCACATTTCTTGTACTTCAGAGATTGATCAGCATCTCCCCAAATCTCCCGAAGCTTATCAACTCCATGAATGTACAGCCACCAAAAGAGAATGAAATTGTTCTGCTGAGTGGATTAACTTCAGGGAAGCTTCAGAGTGATTTTGAAGTACCCCAGGTATAAACTTTAAATTGATCTACTGGAATGTCTGGTACTCTGTAAGGTGTATTTCATGCCTCGTAAAAGAAACGGTGCAGGACATACCGGGGGCGGGGTAGCAGTGGCTTGCATCTAACAGCTGGTTCACAAAGAATAAGGCTGAAATAGTTCTGCATACACTTAGTGGAAGCCAATCTCCTTGAATTTAGAGGTTTTCACTGCAGAGCAGACAATCTGAAGCTTTTCTAAAAACGAATTTATATCTGCTCTTGCTAGTCTGTCACTGTGTGAGTTTTTATCTCTACCTATGTATTGATTTATTGCCTTTCTAATCTGCCCAGTACTAAATTCAAAGCAAATATTAACAGTCAATCCTATGGATGCTTGAGCAGAGAAAAATGGCCTATAACTTCCAGTATCCCTTTGCCAGTGTAGGACTCTTTTCTGTCTAAACATGCATGGAATAGCACCCTAAGGTGTCTTTGTGCTGCAACAAAGTGAGATACAAATGTTTATCCGAAACACATATTGCACCAAGGGAATATTGCATCAAGGTAAATGGAGCTGAAATCCAATGCATATTTCCCTGGAGCAGAATAAACAAATATCCTTGTTTATTCTAGGATTGCACTGCATGACTGCAGCCCTATACACACTCTTCCAGAGTAAGCACCCCTGAATATAGTCGGGATTGTGTCTGACTAAATGCGCATAGGATTGTGCTGCATGGTTCATTTCATTGGCTTTATTATACTTCTAGCTGCTGAAGCATAGAATGTTACTGCCTATATACTTTGAGAATCCTTACCAGGTATCAACAATAAACAGATGTTGGGTGGGATCCAGAGTTTTCATTTCATGAATGGAAGGAACTTGCATTCATGGAAGGAGTATTGCTCCCATGTAAAGGGCCTTTCCACGAGCACCAAGGTTCCTGCTGTGGCTGAAAAGTCTCCTTCGATTCACAAATAAGAGCTTTGGGTCCAAGCCCCTGTCTTCAGCCATGGCCACCCAGCCAGTGTCTGTAAGAACAACGAAGCATGTGGCCAGTGACTAAACAAAAATCATTCATGGCCAGCAAGTGGCTACCATTTTTTAGTCATGGTTGACCACATCTGTGACCATTTTATTTTCATTTGCCAAGTAAAAACTCTCCTCCTTCATTTTATAAAGTCAAGTTGCTGTTCATATGCAAACTATGCAACAACCATTTATGTTGAGTAGAACAGCAGATATTAATGAAAAGGAAAAGCAAAAGCCCAGCAAAAACCTTAAGAAGGGCACACAGGTGCCCCCTCCTGTGGGTGTTTGAGGTTTTCCAGGGATGCTGATAGAGTCTGATGGAGTCAGGACAAGAGTTAGGAACAGATGTGGGTTTATTTATTTATTTAAAACATTTCTATGCTGCCCCATTCGTCAAAGGGTTGTGCTGGGGATGGTGACAGGACCATGTCCCCTGGAGAGAAGGGCCTTGAATAAGGTGCTGCCTAGCCTTCCTTGAGGAAGTTTTTACATTAGTCTTCTGCTACACGCTGAAAGGTCGAAGGGCCAGGGGTCATAATAATGTGATGGCATTAGCTGGAAATGGTGCTGGCACTTTGCCATGCATGCAATGCAGCTCTTATGCATTTACTCAGAGGTTCCATTGAGTTCAGTAGCACTTACTGCTAAGTAAATGTACTTAGGGTAGCAACCTTAAAACATAATAATAGACATTCCAAAACTGTCTGTAATGCCTTGCAGACATTCAGAAAAATGTATTTGTTCCATAGGAGAACATAGAGAGTAATGACAAAATTGGGAGATTTTCATGCTAATTGTGTTACTGTTTGGCTGTTTTTCTCCATCTAGTGTTCCTGGCTGGCAGATGTCTGTCTGGTTCAGTGTGCAAGAGGAAACAGAAAGAACAGCACAAGCTGCATCATTTTTGAAATAAACAAGTTTCTGATTGGGCTGGAGCTCGTGCAGGAGAAGCAGCTGCACCTAGAGGCTAGCATCTTAAAGCCTGAAGATGATACTAACTGCTCGGTGTCCTCAATAGAGGAAGACTTCCTCACAGCATCAGAGTACTTTGAAGAAGAGAATGAGGCAGATGAATATAGAAACGGTAAAATCTAGTCAACCGAATGAATATCTGCAGCTGTCTGTGCAATCACATTCATGGGGTTTTGTGCTCATGGAAACTGCACTTTGTGTTAATTGGTGCATACCTTTTAACTGTGGCATGAGAGCAATATAATAAGAAGCTAAATTTTCCTTGTGCTGTTAGATATCGTTGGTCATGAAACAGAGATAGATGGTGATTGCACTCTCTGATGCTTTGGCACATCCACTGTTCAGGAAATTATGCTTGGCTTCCTAAAGGCTAACATATTATTTTCCCTTTCCCAGGTCATAAAAAGCTAAATGTCACAGAAGCTGCAGCAGAGTTCAAAACATACAGAGGTAAAGGACTTGAAAACCTACATTGCAAAAAAGTTAGGTTACCATTTACTCTGGAATCTAATTCTAGTAACAAAGGCAGCACTGCTTCTGCTAGAACATTAAGCTCTTCTGAAGAAGAATATAATGGTGAGGATGAAGAGACTGTAACTAAAACTGTTAATCAACTTCAATGGAAGACTGACATTGCTGGAAAACCTAAGACTTCTTGTAATATCGATGATCTGGAAGACTCTTCTCGTGGTGACACAGACAATTCTGATGTATCAGAAGATGCATCTTTGGCCATAATGGCTAAGGAGGAAATTATTGCTTTGAATGATGCAACAACAGAACAAAACAGTCATTTAGGCACATCAGAGTATAGACCTGAAAGTACCTTTCATCCTCCCATGCAGAATGAACAAGCCACTGCAGGTCAATTTGCTACAAATCTGGCAGAGTCTGTCCTGCAAGATGCATTCATCAGATTGTCTCAGTCTGCTTTTACCAAAGAGGCTGCCATCAGCATCTCTCTTGGTAACTCCTTAACTTCAGCTGCATACACATCACAGGATGTAATGGCTTCTCGGTCATGGAATGAGCTTCCCAAAATAGTTATTGTTCAAAGTCCAGATGGCTCTGACAACACACCTGAATGGCCTGGGGCTAACCTTCCAAATATATGTCCTTGGTCTGAAGTTGAACATGCTACTGAAGATGCAGATTGGTTACAAAACAACAGTTCCAATGGAGGCACCCAAAGTGCCTTAGAGGTAGCCTTGGCCTGTGCCGCTACAGTCATTGGTACCATTTCGAGCCCGCATGCTACAGAAAAGCTCAAAATAGAACAGGAGACTGCAAACTCTAAAACACATGTGGATGATAGTGAAGACTTAGAGGAAAAGTCTTCCCAAAATGTCAGTTGTACACCTGTGGACTATTCATTTCCATCTGCCCTGTGCGGCATGACTCAAGTAGCAAGCGCTGTTGCTGTTTGTGGCTTCGGAGAAAGAACAGATGCCAAGTATCCTATAGCTTCAGGTGGACTCCTTTCTGCTGCTGAGACATCAGCAGCCATTACTCTTCACTGTAGCATAGCCATAGGGAGCAGCATGGAGGATTTGAACAATAGTATTGCACAAGTGTTGCTCAAAGAGGCATCCTTAGTGCTGTCAAAACCTGAAGCATACAGGAATATAGGGGACTTCATGGAGTCTATAAATGGGAAAATTGTTCAGACAGTAACAAAGCCCTCAGTTCCCCACTTGGATGAAATAATTGTTGATGAACTTGCCCAGAACTTGTCCAATGTTATCCTCAGACATTCAGTGGAAGAGGTCAGGAAGAAGCAGCTTAATGCATGTTCAGACAGAAGTATAGATCTCAGTACCCAGGATGTCTTTATTGCGACTGCAAATAAGCTGCTTTTTAATGTGCTGTATTTCACATGTAAGAAGATGACTGATATTGCACAACTCGGTGAATGTCTGAATACTCTGGCTGATGATCATCTTAACAGGCAGATAATGGAAAGCCAGCCAAAAGAGACAGCACACGATCTATTAGAGTCACCCACAAGCTACCCCAAGAGCAAGGCTTTTAGCATCTTCCGTGGCACCAACACTGATAAGGGTGCTGTGTCAGCAACACATTCAGTGGAAGACATCAAAGGGGAAGTTGCACCAGACGCCCCAGAATCTGCCACATTTCCCACCAATTCACCATCCAGGACCCATGCTCACAGTTCATCCTCTGGAAAAACATCTCCTAAGAAAAGATATTTGAAAAGAACTGCAAGAGAGTGTTACAGATCCATAAATTCCAGTAGCAATCAAGCTAAAAAGGACATTCATTCATGTGCTGGCAAAGAAAATATGACAGCGACTACTGAATGCAGACATGGCCTTCGAGAACTTCAATCTCCCAATGTTGCAATAAGTACAGAAAGCCATGAGAAGCACATGGGTGATGCAGCATGGCACAGCGAAGCCCAACGCAGTGTGTCCTTATTGGGTACTCAAGCTTTTCTGCCTCCCCAACCTCTGCTACAGTTGAAACACCCAACAGATAAATACTGCATAGCAGATTTTGCAGAGGAATTGGCAGAGACTGTGGTCTCTATGGCAACAGAAATAGCTGCCATTTGCCTTGACAATTCAAATGGCAAGCAACCTTGGTTCTGTGCATGGAAGAGAGGAAGTGAATATTTGATGCCCCAGGCTTTGTCATGCCGGACCATCAAAAGAAAGAAAGAAACACAGTCTAATGGATCGGTTGTAAGAAAGCATAGGCCGCCTAGGTTGAGTGAGATCAAGAGAAAAACAGATGAACATCCTGAGCTAAAAGAAAAGCTTATGAATAGGGTTGTGGATGAATCCATTTATCTTGACGATACAACAGATTCAAGCAATAGCTTTGCCAGTGATGTAGCTGCTAAGATTATTAATTTGGCAGAACTCTCTGTGGTGGATAATGTATGGCAGAGTCCAAACCATCCACGAAATAGGCTACTTTGTGACCGGTGGAGCAGAGTCAACGCATCCAGCTGTGAAAGCATTCCTGAAGAGGACTCAGATTCCAAAGGGTCTGCAAATACTTTGGCTCTCATGAACACTTTAGGGCAACCCCTAAGCAGGACAAGTTCTGTCTCTAAGCAGTCCAGCTGTGAAAGCATTACAGATGAGTTTTCACGGTTTATGGTCAACCAGATGGAAAATGAAGGTCGAGAATTTGATTTATTACTTGATTACTATGCTGGGAAAAATGCAAACAACATCTTAAATTCTGCACTGCAGCAAGTCACCAAGAAAAATGGCCACCTCAGTGTGAGGCCAAGTTGCCCATCCAAACAGTCAAGCACAGAAAGCATTACGGAAGAGTTTTATAAATATATGCTAAGGGAAATTGAAAAGGAAAATAAGGAAAATGGGTTTTCTGCTAGGAGTGCAAAGGACTGGAGCAACAATTTATTACCTCCTTCCCAACGATCAGCTTTTTGTTTTAGACAGTCTTCAATGCCTGATAGCAGATCAACAGCATCCAGGCTTACAGTGAATGTGCCCATCAAAGCAAATTCATTAGATGGCTTTTCTCGCAATGGCCACCAGGATTCTTTAACCATACAGCCTATCAGTACAGTGTCCTCATCAGGGCTTTGCAAATCAGACTCTTATCTGTATCAAAGATGTCGGACTGATAAGGTAACTGACATGCTGATTCATGAGACCTGGTCAAACTCCATCAAAGCCCTGATGTGCAAGAATAAGATCATAGCTGATGATGGGGAGATCGCGGAGCCTGATCAACATCCTCATGGTTCTCCACCACATGTTCAGCAATACGCAAACAGGCTAGCTGAAAACATTGTGGAGAGTGGGAAAACCTTAATTGCCATCCATCAGGATTCTGCAGACACAAGCAAAGCAACAGACAGCAGCTGCATCCCAGTAGGGATCCAAAGTAACTGTAAACCCACCGGAGACAGACTAGATGTAGATGTGAAGAAACAGCATACTGGATCCCCTGGTTCGTTTTCCACAAACCAGACAAGCTCTTCTGCATGCCCAAGGGAAGTGCCTTTAATTCAGATAGAAACAGATCAAAGAGAAGAGTTTAATAAAGGCTCCCAGCCCTTAACAGAAGCTAACATCACCTCTGGGAAAACGAGGGAGCATCTAAACAATGAAAAATCTACAAAGGCAGATTCAGGAAGGCATCTGGTTTCCACAACAACCAACAGGTAAGTTTCCTATCCAGACTGAAGTACATATGTTTGTGTGATAAGTGGATGTGTAGAGGCACACCCCTCTTCCCATATGGCTGCAACGAGCAAAAATAGGCACCAGTGCATTCTTTTTCACTCACATTCATGTGTGGAGTATAACTTATATATGCATTCACTAAGTCTGAACTGCTATAAATGTTTGCCTGGAAGTAAGCCCACAGAAGTAGACCGAAATGTATTGGCAGATCTCTGGATGATTTGCAAGAGATCAGCAAGAGTTTCTGACTCCCAAATGTTTAACAATAGCAACACAAAATGGCGTTTTTCTACCTGAATTAGACTGCTGAATTGCAGAAAGCTTGAAGTAAGCAGGGGTGTTTGGTGTGTGAAAGCACTCTGAGCTCAGCCCAGCTCTGCTGCTGATGAAAATGTATGCCTGGGCTTCCAATCTAAAGATCTGAATGGAAAGACCCTTTATATGGTGCATCCTGAACATTATCTGCACATAATAGGATCTCCTCTGTGGCTAGGCTTCTAGTATATAGCTTATATATTAAGCACAATAATTAATCCAGCCCTGGTGAAATGAACTATTTATATTTATAGATTCTCAGTTGTGCTGTCCTAGTATTACCTGCAATATTACTGTAAAAATGGACATATTTTCTACATTCCTCTGGACTCATATAGGTCTTGGCCTAGGTTGAAAAGACCAGAGTGCTGGATTTCATATTTCATGCAGATTCAAGGTTGTTCATGAAACTATTTCAGTGGCTGTTTCTTAGCCTCCATTAACTTCTGCTTCACCTGCTCCCTTCTCCCATTTGTTATGGAGCAATATGAGTCATCCTGTCTGTAGACAATGCCTATTCATAGAAAATTGTGCTACATTGTTTGATCCAACTCTTTCTGACATTGCTCTAAAAGTTCGTTTATGAAATCTAACTTAAAACACAGTTTTGGAATAGTGTTGCTATTATTTGGTGAATCTGATATGGATGAGAATAGATCTTGGCTTTCTTTAATTTTCATGTTGATAATGTCGTTATCAAAAGTTACGTTTTCTCGATGATAAAAATTCAAGCTGCCTGGCATACCTGGGCAAGATTTGGCTTCTCCAAAGTTCTGCTAGTTCAGCCATAGACAAAAAATGTGCAGTCTCACCAAAAGTCAGCAGGCTTAACCAATCCACCCACGTGCACCCATTGGAGAAGCTTGAACAATGGGAAAAGCAGGCAATTGATCCAGAAGGAATTGTTACTTGCATTTGGAATAAGGACATGTAGTTAGAACTGCCAGTTCTGCATCCAGGTATCACAGACAGTACTTATGCCCTATGTGAGTGTGTGTGCATAAAGGAGAATAACAGTAAAACCAAGAACCCAAAACTATGTTAAAATATGCCGATGGCTAATAAAATAACAGCAGCAGCCCAAAATACAAGTACAATCTAAAAGAACAAAACTATTTTAATGATGAAAAATTAGTGCTTGGCAAATACACTCTTGTCCTGGGGTAAGCACCCCTGCAAAGAGGTTTGCATAGTAAGGGTGCCATGACTGAAAAGGCCCTTTCCCCATATACCTTCCTCCCACCCCCCCACCCCCCACACACACATACAAGTGCCAGATATATGTTGTGGAGGGTGCCCAAAGAAGGGCCTCTGAGAATAAATACGTAGCAGGAACATGCTGTGTCTCCTGCCGTCTTTCCTTCCTTGTCTTCTGTTCCTCTTCCCCACTGACTGAACTAAGCTGAACTTCAGTTTTGCAACACAAGTAGGAGGAGGAGGATTGGCAGAAACCACAACAGGGCTGAAGCACAAGATGCAACAATGCTGCCCCTGAAATGTAACTTGGCAACCCCACCGGTTGCTGGCAGAAAGCCTAATGCCTCTGACAAGCTAGGCACCTTCAAAAAGAGCAGCATGAAGATATATCCGATGATGCTCATGTCCTTGCCCTGTACTAAAACAAGACTGAGCAAGGTGGATCAGTTCACCAATAGAAGACACTGGACAAGTGTGCATGATATGATTCCATCCCCACCCCTGCCCGGGAATTTTAAACACATGCTGTTGATAAAATCCCCCCGTCTCTGGCAGACTGTCAGGCACAGCTAGGGGCTGTGCGCTCCTCCATCCCCTTCTTCCCCACTCCTGCTCCCCAGTCCTCCTGCAGTATCCCAACAAACAGTGCAAGAGTACCTAGATATCTCCTTAGCAGTGGCGAGTCATTCATGCAGGCTGCAGCTTCACTTTAAAAAAAATGAAAGCCACTGTTAAGGGCTGTTTTTGTGATCCTTTTGAGGGCATCCCAAAGGTGCTTTCCCCAAGGATGCCCACGGGTACAGTGGGGAGCTACCCATGTTGCCCACTACTTTTTAAAGAAAAAATTAAAGGGGCTCTCAACACAACAAAGGTTTGTTGTTGGTTTAACATGAGCCGTCATTTGCGCGAAGGAGACTAGACTTTTTAGTAGCACTGGAAGTGGTCTCCTTAGTGCAACATGGCCAGGCTAGTAAAAACGGGGCAGGCTGGAGGGTCTGCTGCCCAAATCCTGCAGGCAGCCTCCCCAGCCAGCCCAGTGCCTACCCGCTCACCACCACTTACACAGATAGTTGCACAGATATACGATGGCAACCAAACCCAGAGGAGGAGGGGGCTTTGCAGAAGGGGGCTGTTTCCCCCTTTGGCAGCACAATTCCAGGGGTCTACCTAAAAACCACCACCCAGGAAAAAGTGCTGTGTTTGGATGACTTGTAGCCACGTTGTGTGAACCCAATCAGAAAATATTCCCATGAGTATATTCTTCCAATCTCTCTTCTTCTCCATCAGCATGGCAACCTGCAACGGCCAGGAGCCCGAAGCCTCCGTAGAGGCCAAAGCTGTGGAGGAGTCTCCAGTCCCTCTCAGCAGCAGTGATGAGAGCACAGGGAGCAGCTGGTGTCAGCTGGCCAATGAGGAGGACAATCCTGACGATACCAGCAGCTATTTGCAACTCAGTGAGAGATCTATGAGGTAACTCTGTGCCCTTTGAGCTGCAAGGGGTGTAATCACCAGCATAAGCGTTTTGATGGTCCTTTACTCTGAATGAACGTCACTGGAATAGATCCGAAGGAGGTCTAGCTTTCATACAGTGCTGTGGGAGGCCTCGTTATGTATTTGGAAACCATGTGCAAAGGCACTGAAACCCAGTCCTAAGCCATTGCTTCCTCTTCCTGCAAAGGAAAGTGCCATCTGACAAGCTAATTAGAGTCAATCATGGCTCATTTTGTCTGTTCCATCTTCCAAACATGTTTATTGCACCTAGTGTTTGGATCATTTGCATTTTACACTGTTGGACCAAACTCTCATTTCCTTTGTTTTGATGGCCATGACTGAAAAGGATGAGCTTGAATGGTAAATGACTTCCCAGCACTTTTCCTGCCTGGTTCTTCTTTTGTCGGTTCTCACAAGAACTGCATATGAGAACAGTGGAATTATGCAGCTTCATTATGACTGAATTCCCCAGAATTGTATATCCTGTAAAGAAAAATCCTAGGAGAATCTAGAGCTCTTTTAAGCACATTTTTATATAGCTTTTCAGGTTTTTTCTGATTCCTCATATTTATGGTGTTACTACAACCAAATCAAATCAGCCAAATTTGCACCCCTAAAAGATTTTGCTCCCAATGCAAACAATTATTGTACCTGAGATCTCACTCCAGAGTATTTGGTTTAGGAAGTCATACATGAATATAGCACTATATTTAGTGCCCATTATTGTTTTCGGTGTTTATGAGATATGAATCTGGTGGAATCTGACTTACAAGCTGGTGACACTTAGAAGGGAGATGTCAGATAAGTGAGCAATTAACCTGCCTTGCACACACTTTCGGAAGCATCTGCATTTCTAGGAGTGCATTCAAAGGCATCTTGGAGTGTAGAGTCAGAAGGCCTAGGATAGTGTTAGTCAGACACTATCACTTGATGACGGCAAGTGTTAATTGGCATATATGCAAATCAACCACCACAGACCAGCAAATTTTCATTTCTCCTGCAGCCATCTCCAAAACAACACCCATTTGCTGTCAGTGCTGCGTGATGAGACATCAAGCAATGTATATGCATGTATGACTCTGTCTTACATAGTATATTTTGCTATCTAAGACCATGAACTGAAAGAAAGTCTTCCTTTGGCCATATCAAACTGGAACCATCTTGGGATTTGGCTCTTTCTCTGGCCATTTGTAGCATCATTCAATGTTTAGCCATTATGTGTTTTTTTTACTTAATATGTCCAGATCTTTTGTTTTGCTGGGAGCAACTTGCTGAGTAGGACAAGAACTGCTTGCCCTCATGCTGAGAAGCAGAAAAGCAGCAGTGCTGCCTGCCACTTTGGGTTAACAATGTGTTCAAGTGCATGCTTGTGCAGCCTGGCATTAATGCTTAAATTTTTGCTTCGTCAGCAATGGCAACAGCAGTACCACTAGCAGTCTTGGCATTGTGGATCTGGAAATTTATCAGGAAAACATGCCATCTTCTCGTGCCATTCAGTAAGTAGCTCTTAAGGTGACATCTGATCTTGGGAAGTGCTCTTCCATTTCAGCTGAAAGTCATCTGCATCATCTGAAATGTGCCAAACTATTACATTTTTATTGATTGATTGATTGATTTCTATACTGCCCGATAGCCAAACTCTCTGGGGACTTTCCAGAAGCACATAAAATACAGTAGAAATACAGTAGAAAAAACATGGATAGCGAGTTACCCTAGAAAATTTAAAAGCCAAAATTGGAACAAAATTTTAAAAAGTTCAATAGCTGAATCAAATTAAATCACAAGACTTCTTAGACAGCTGATATAATACCCTGATTGTGCCCTTTTTAAAGCTGATTGCATGCCATGTCATAGAGGACAGTCTTAATCTGGCACCAGAAAGATAGTGGAATTGGTGCCAGGCAAGTCTCAGTAGGGAACTTGTTCCATAATTACCTGGAGGCACCACTGAAAAGGCCCTTGTTGCTGCTAACTGAGCCTCCCTTGGAGGTGGCAGCCAGAAGCAGGCTCCAGATCTTGATTGCAGTATCTAGATATATTGCAGTTAGGAGATGTGTTCCATCAGGTATTATGGCCCAAAGCCATGTAGGGCTTTGAAAGTTAAAACCAGTATCTTGAATTGGGCTTGGAAGTATATAGACAACCAGTGGAAGCAGGCCAGTATTGGTGTTATGTGTTCAATCTTCTGATTCCACATTTTGTACAAGATGCAGCTTCTGAACAGTCCTTAAGTGCAATCCCATGTAGAATTATTTGCAGTAAACCATTTTAGAGTGTAGATTACTGAAACCAGGCTATCCCTATTCAGATCAGGCATAACTGAGCCAAATTTGGGAGAAGGTACTCCATGCTGCTGAGGTCACCTGAGCCTTGAGTGACAAAAATGGCCTAAGGAGGACACCAAACCCACTCCTTCAAGGAGAGCAGACCCTCATCCAGAACCCTCCATCTGGTCAGAGGAACCATCTACTAATAGTACCTCAGCCTTGCCTGGATAGAGCTTCAATTTGTTAGCTTTCATTGTCACAGCCAGACACAGGTTTAGTACAGCTTCATCTGCTGGAGAAGAAAAGGAGAAGTAGAGCTACATGGCATCAGTGTACTGATGGCAATGTACTCTAAAACTCTGGATGACCCCACTCAGCAGTTGAAAAGTGTGGGAGAAATGACTGACCCCTGAAGGCAAGTCCACACAGCTGAGCAGTATTGCCCAAGCACCATCTTCCAGAGCCAATCATCCAGGTAACTGATCCAGAAGGATACCATGCTCAGTAAGAATACCCAAACCACTGAAAGATCCAGGAGCACCAACAGAGCACCAACACACTCCCTCTTTTTCCTACTATGTGGCATCATACAGGATAACCAAATACATGCTGTGTGCCTGTGGAGTCCTGCCACTGTGGAGTGGCAGAAAAAGGCAATGAGAGAATTCCTATCTTCACATTTTGAGACAGAAGCCCATTGGATGAGCAAGAGGCACCTATGCTTTGGCTATTGGGTGGCATACAAAGAAATACACAAACAAAGGCAGAGATCATAGATTTTGGCTGGGATCCTAAGACAGCTTAAGTTTGCATGGGCACTTTTGCATGTATCCAGAAGCCATTCCCCACCCACCATACTGACTTAGAACATGTTGGAGGTGCCCTGGAGGTGCCCATTGGGTTTTGCTCTTGATTTGTTGGATATCCATATAGATGTTTTTAGTAGGGAAGGATTCAGGATCTCTTCTGAGCAGAAGATTCACACACAGATCCCTGGATCCTGCTCATAGTGCACTGTTGTATGGAGAAGCTGCATGTGATCTGTGATCTTTCATTTTCAAATTTTTATAAGCCACCTTGAGCACTGTGCATACGGTGGAATGGCAGGATATCCTTATTCTAGAGGAGGAGGAGGAGAAGAAATTGGTTGATAGTTTTAAAATGTGAATACCACAACTGCAGCAGACTCTGTAGCAAGGCATTTCAGTATTTCAAAGGACCTTCACTTTAATACCTTTATAACACATGAGAGTGAAAAGAACTATTAAACTGAATGGTGATGTATTGCAGTTATTTGTTAAATCTGCAAATGACATTTCCACCAAATGGTGCTTAGGGTGGCTAATAGCAGAGTTAATAAATTTCAGAGTAAAAGAAACAAAGTGGGTAAAACATTGATTAAAATCAATCAAAATAACTGGTTAAAACCAATTGCAACGTATTTACAAGTCAGTTTGTAAATGAGCCAAAAGCCTGTCAACAGTGCCTGTATCTCTGGACAAAGAGTTCCAGATTCTGGAAGCCATTCCCAAGAAGGCCTTCTTTTGTGTTTCTACCATTGTGCTGTAAAAACAAGTTCCTCCATATTGCAATAAAGCTGTAATATCTCAAGCCTCTCTTTAATATCATTTCAGCTTTCATGAAAGAATGTCTGTGTCCCCAAATTATTTACAATATTTCTTGTCCTTTTTGTTTCTTAAGTGAATTAGTAGAAGAAAGTGCATTCCGTGACAAACAGCCAGACAAGGTGGAAGGTAGGTTCCAAAATGGGCCATGGGAGTTTGATTTGCTTACAAGTGTGGGAGCCAGTGTGGTACAGTGGTTAAGAGCACAGACTGGGACTCAGGTGATCCGGGTTCTAATCGCCACTCAGCCCCTAGGTGACTTGGGGACAGATATGGACTCTCAGCCCAACCTACCTCACAGGGTTGTTGTTGTGGGGATAAGGTTCAGAAGACAAAGAGAAGCATGTCAACCTCCGTTATTTATTTGAAAGGAAAAAAGGCAGGATATAAATGTAACAAATAAATAAATAGTTATCTTACCAGAATGAAAATTTTTGTGTTGCCCTTTCTTCAGAACACACTTCCGGCTTATCTGTGGGACCAGCCAGTGGGCAAAAGGATATCTTGGTGATAAACTTTGACCTAGAACCAGAGTGCCCTGATACAGAATTGCGTGCCACTCTTCAGTGGATAGCTGCATCAGAGCTTGGGATTCCTATGATCTATTTTAAGAAATCTCAGGAAAATAGAATTGAAAAGGTATGACTTTCTGTATTTGTATTAGTAATGGTAAAAATACTGGGGAGAAGTATTCAGAATGTTGTGAGGATCAATTTGGAGAGAAGGAGAACTTTGTAAGCTGTCATGGGAAGAAAGGCAGGCATAAATATAATGCAATAATGAAAAGGCCCTGCAAGAGGTCAGATAGGAATCCTTCTGCTTCTTGTCTCCAGCAGATGTGGCTTGTACAATACACACCTGTGCCACTTAGAATGTGGAAGGCCATCTTGGGTGCTTCCAGACCTTTATGAGTCAATTGCCAGGCCCCGTTCACAGAAGTTTACAAAGGTCCAAGCAATGTATTGTACCTGTGACCTGTGTTTTCTTACTTCTCCTTGTCTTTTTCCTTAGTGAAGACAATCTATTAGAGAAAAAGTTGGAACATCTGCACAGAGCCTTCCAGTTCCTTGTGCTGGGAACCCTCTGTCTGGAAGCATGTCCTGGCACTCTTAACAGGCATTTCTGCCAGGGCTGTGCATGTAATCCTAACAGCAGCTGCATTAGGGCAGCAGATCATAGAACTGGGCTTCAATCCTGAATATTTTTTAAAAAGCCGCAAAAAATTAAGTTGTCATTAGGTAGAGCCAGGATATCATTCAGTATTTTCCAAAGGGAAATATTTGGAAATTGAAAACATTATTTAAGTTACATTCTGTAAGAACTGCTCAAATTGTGTTCCCTTAAAGAAGCAGCTGTCAGCTCTGCCATATGCCTCTGGAAATAGTGAAACCCAGTTGCTAACACACTCCAGAGAGTGATGAAACACATTCTGTCTGAAAGCATATCCTTAAAAAAACTGCATGCCTAGTTTAACAACTTCAAAATATGTGTTTAAGTTTAGAATGCTGTATGTAAATAGCAAATAGTCTGGCTAGTTCACAGGCATAATATTTCTTCCTGCATTTTGAAAGTGGAGCAATTCCAAGTGAGAAGCCTAATTGGATATTGATTGCAAAAGAAAAGAAAATGAAAAGGCGTTGATTTCCATTTTCAAGTTAGAAGAAAAGCTGGAGTTGGGTGTGTAACATAGCAATGTCCATAATTACATAAAGAATAAAGCACAAACGTGGAAACAGTGTAACATTTTTCCCCAGCTGCCTGAAAATGTAAGGGAAGCAAAATTTAAAAAAAACAAAACATAGTTGGCATGCAGCAAGATAAGAGCTGTTGCTCCTTCTAGCACATGCGCGTGCGCACGCACACACACACACGCTCATGCGCTCACATGAAATTCTTTCAGTGCTAGCCAGGCTGGAAAAGTTCAGATTTTCTCTGGTGGTTCATATAGCTGCCAGGTTGCATAGTCATAATGGATAACCAAATACAGAGGTCTTTTTTACAACGACTAATTAAATTATATATTTAATGTATTACTTCTTTATTCCATCCTTCCTCCAAAAAAAACCAAGGGAGTGACCTGATTCTCACCCCCTGTTTCATCCTACCAAGCAGTCCTGTCAGTTAGAGATAGCGAACAGGTTCACAAGATAATAGAGGGGGAAATAAGCCAGTTATTTTCCCCAATTTATGCTGGTCATGTTTGCTTGTTTACATTCTGGGAGATTTGCATCACAGCTTGATGAGACAGGTGAACTTTCCAAATTCTGGGTGGCATGGTCCCCACGGCATCAAGCCCCACAGACATATGACTGGCACTTGTAGACCAGAGGCGGGAGATTATGCCACCCTGACTTAGTTTGATCTCCATGAGCATGTGAATCAGGCCAGTGAATTGTGTGAATTGCTCTCTTGTCTCCAGGTCTCATCCAACACTGACCACACTGGCTTGGTTTGAATGGAGGAGATGAAGAGAGGGCTTCTTTTCCTTGCCCTTGCATATGTTCGGCAGACACCACACTTCCTGCCTGATTCCCCTCATGCTGCTCAGCTGGCCATGTCGCCTGAATGCTCTGAAGTGTTTAGAGGGAGGTGGCTTTGAAACCACACCAAAATCCCACAACAAGCCATGGGTTCTGGGGCAGTTTCCAAGCCACCCCTGCAGCACACCTTGCCACAGGTGTGGATGATATGGCAAGCTGTGTGTCACAAGGGTCGTTAGGCAATCGTGCCGCATGTGCCTCATGATCCACATGATTGTCCAGAGCTGAACCCCAGCTCCAGGAACAAAGAGCATGCACCGCAAGGAGAAGATTTACTCCTTTAAAGAGTGTTTAACTGAATTTGTGTAGGAAAAGCTGGCCAGAAGCTCTGGTACAAAGCAGGCACCTTCTCTGTGTCCCTCTAATGCACAAGTGTAAATATTTATGTTGCTGCTTTGTGTTTGCTGCTAGCTGTTTTTGTATGCAGTGATGCAGCACCTAGGTCTGTAGTGGGCCAAAAGAATAAATCTGCATATGGCAGGTGTTCCCTCTCTGAACCTCCACCTTCCTCCCATGGTCAAGACAATGTTTTGAAGAATAGAACTGAAATGTGTTGTTAGTGTTGGAGCAGACTCAGCACAGAATTTCAGCTGTCCTTTGGGACTAAGCAACAATACCAACAGCATAAACATTTCTTTGAACATCAAAATTTAGGGGTCAAGATAGTGTCATCAATGCAAAAGACGGAAGCTTCTGCACCATGGTTTGCAGAAACAGGAATAACCTGTGCTAAGCAAGGGCAGAAACCCCAACACAGCTGGGGTGCATGCTCAAAGAGCACAGAATGTTGGCTGAGTTGTTGCAGGGAGAAGCAGAATATTGGGAGGGAGAATGAAAGTACCCTGGAACCCTCCATGCTGCAACATTTCATTGCAGGGTCTATTTCTTCCCTCTCTTTCCAGCATTTGGGGATGAATGCCATTGTTTGTGCAGCTGAAATGGCACCTCCACACAAAGACACTGGAGGGAAGATATGAATAGGCTCAAGGCAAACCCAAAAGTCAGGGAAACACCAAACAGCCTAATCGCCACTTAGAGTGCTCACTGCCACAGCAGCTAACACTTGTGGCAAGGCAGGGGAGGAAAACCAGGTGGGAGGGGACATGAAATAAAGTACTGAGAAGGGCATACCGGACTGCCTGGGGTGCTGCAAGCTTCAAGGCCTTGCTGCAGATCTGACTTGCATTTGCTCTGTGCAATGTGGTATTATCTTCATTCCAAACCAAAGCCTGTCTCTCAGGACTGCTTCTCATAAGCATGCACATCACCCAGTTGCTCATCACCTACTCACGCCTTGCTTGAGCAACGCTGTGTGTGTGTGAAGTGATTCCACTGGAAAGCTAGTGCAGTGGTGGCAGGATGGAAGATTAGTGGCAATGAACCAGTAGCAGCTCATCCCCACATGCAAATCACCATTTGCTTGTGCAATAGGTGAGAGGTGAATAATTGAAGCAGTCCTCTTGTATAGCGCTTTAGGGTCCGCTTCGTTAAAATGAAAAATGGGTCAGAAGGAGAGAGGATTGCAGAAACTTTCTCTAACAATAAATCATTTATTCCAGTTCTTAGATGTTGTGCAGCTTGTCCACCAGAAATCCTGGAAAGTGGGTGATATTTTCCATGCTGTGGTAGAATTCTGCAAGCACCATGAAGAAAGCAGTGAGCTGGCACCAAGCCTTTTTGACTGGCTTCTTGAACTGGGATAAGAAACCATGTTGAACGCCTTGTGTTCATTTTTAATCCATTTTGAGTGGCAGTGGTTTGTGAATGGTCCTCTTTTTCAAAACATCAGCACATAAACTGAAAGGCACAAACTCTGCCCATGCACAAGTCTTTTCAAAGATGTGCATAGTCTGAAAAAATGAAAGAAAAGGCTGAGAGTATTTAATAATATCATGTGGGGGACCCCACATTTTAGACTGCACTTGTGGTAGGAGAGGATGGGGTGTGCACTTTAAACAAATAAATATTTGTGAAGTCTGAATGAAGAAGCCATCTATTTCACATAATCAAAGACTAATAAGCAACTGTTGGCTATGTGTATTGACTGACTCTGGAATCACACGGTAACAGCGGGTTTTCTTTTAAAGAGCCCAGTATTTGTAGTTTGACCACACCAGTAGTTTGTGGAACACTAGCCAAGTTCATCCATTCAAGGAGAAGTCTCTCAATTAATTCTGTACAATTATGTTTTCAAATTACTGCAGAGAAACAGAAAAATGAGCTTTTGAAGAGTATCAGAAAGAAATGTCATTCACAAGCTGTTGAAATTGCTTTTTAAAGGCCAGCAAGCATATCCGTTTCACTGAAAAGAAATCAAATTCAGGTTGGCAGATTTTCATGCAGGTCTTTAAATTCCATGTTGGTGGTGCTGGTGTTTCCACTGGTAGCCAGGAGCACTGTGCTCCAGTGAATGCAACACAGTATTGCTCATTAACAGACCTGGGTCCCACATACTGAGAGACTGTGGGAAGGTACTGGTACTTCCGAGCTTCACTTTTTCCCATCTGTAACAGTGATTCATGTCCTTTGTAAAGTTCTTCAGAATCTTTGAATAAACAAAGTAGTTTTTAAAGGGATTCAGTATCAATATTGCTACTCAAATCTACAAACTGATCCTATGCATATTTACTCAGAAATGCGTCCCACTGAGCTCAGTGATGTATGCAGCGGATTGCTGTTGAGACAAATTTTCTATCATTTAACCACTAAGCTAAACTGGCAAATGTGAAAAATGACACTGTACCCTTATAAAGAAAAGATATATTGGCATTTTTATTTAATAATTGAAATACATAACAACAACAATTTCTTAATGTATTTAAACCTAACTTCTCATTTTAGATTTGGAATATTTGGGGGGTAATCCATATGATGATTCATTTTAGTACAGAAATGTTTTGTTTGTTAATATGCAGACAGAAAATCTTGATCTTCAAATAACTAGCTGTTTTCACCCCCTTACATGAGCATTTTTGACAGTAACTGAAGAGCCTGGTTTTAAATTAAGGTCAAGAAAGGGAATTGTGTTGCAGTAAAAATTCTCCACTCATTACCAAGTAAAAATCTCCATTCTAGATTGCCAATATCCTCTTCTAATATAATCTTTGCAATGCAGCTACTCTATGTTATTGAAAATTAGATATAGTCTGTCATTTTATTTATTTATTTTCAAATTTATAGCCTTCAAAAGGCTCTCTAAGCTGAATAGCCTTCTAAGGGCTCGCGAAGCAATTCACATTAAAAACAGGCCAATAGTACAATTATAAGTAGAGGTGGAAGGAAGAGGGGAAGAAAAAAAAACCTGTTGGTGGTAGAGGGAGATTTTACCATCAGGTGTTAAAGTCAGGTGTCAAAATACCTTCAAAGGAGGACAGTTTTCACCTGGCACTGAAATGAAAGTAGGGATGACACCAGGCAGAACTCTTCAGGAAGCCTGTTCCAAAGGTGGGAGACAGCCACTGAGAAGGCCCTTCTTCTAATTGCCATCTCTTTTACTTCCCTTACGGGTAGCTCTTTCAGAAAAAACAGAAAGTTCTTTTCTTTTTCTTTTCTTTTTGGAAAACAGAAACGTCAGTGGTTTCGCATTAAAGAAATGTTGCTGATCTTTCCAGAAATATATTTAAAAAGCTACTTTTTCACTACAAGAGTACACGATGCTGTAATAGGTCCAAAGTCCAAGTATTTTGCACTATTTTTGAAGCAATTTAACATAAATTATAAAGAGCCATAATTATCACCATTGTTCTTGTCAATGCCCTTGCATGCTTGTCCTTTCTCATACATTCAGCAAAGCCATTTTCAAGAATTTGAATTTATTTCAAAGTGTTCAAGTGACTTTGCTGGCAAAACAATTACTCTGCAATACATGTAGAGAAGGAAAGGTCATTATTATTAATACAAAGGTCAGTTTACTGCAAAAATGAGCTTTGGTGGAACAGTACCTGATTCTGCTTTAGAAAACTCTCTCTCCCAAAAAGCCTATCAAGACCTGTGTACACTCAGTACCTCTTAGAAACAGATTGCAAAGTTATGGAGCATTGATGACTGAAATTATATTGTTGGGGAAAGTATTTATTTTTAGATCAATGCCATTTTATTGTGAGTTATACACACTTTTTGCAGTGGTAGAATAAATGTTTATAAGCACAAATAACTTGGCTGACATGTAACAGTGTGATGATTCTTTTCCTGTGCATTACTTCTTAGTATTGCAGCCTGATCTGAAATAAATTTGTGTTAACAATCAGTGTCTTTTTTATTTTCCTGAGCCTGGTTCTGGCTGTCTTCTGCATATGATACAGAAGGAATAAAGCATTGTCATCAAGCTGTTAAACAAAACAAAATGTGTCTTCTTCCAAATTGCTCTGCAAATGTTCTCTGTACAGCCTGAAAATATGCTTCAGGAAATGAATATCTGTATAAACTGAAGATGCTGCTTTTCATAGGTGTTGAACACCTTTTGCTCTTGAAGACTAAAAGAGGTAAGCAGTGGAAAGCCCACAAGTTTCTGCACTGGGACCAATGCTTTTCAACTTACTCTGAAATGATTTGGAATTAAGATTGGGCAGTGAAATGGCTGGCATTCACAGACGACACCAAATTATTTAAAGTGGTTAAAACAAAAAAGGAGTGCATGGTGCTCAAAAAATCTCTTGAAATAGGTGGAACGGCATTGAGATGGCAACTGCAGTCCAATGTAAGCAAATGAATGGACTGCTTACATTGGGCTGCACTTTATAAAGCGATGCATGTTGGTGGGGGAAAAACCCACATTTTCAAGTATAAGCTGATATCTGAGCTAGTGACAGACCAAGTAAGAGAGCTTAGGACTGTAGTGGTCAGCTTGGTGAAACCGTCAATCCACTGTGGCTGCTGTGAAAAACTAGCTTAATTAAGAAAGGGATTGAAAATACGACTACCAAGATCATACTCCTACACAAATATATTGTGTGACTACACTTAGAATACAGTGTATGGGTCTGGTCTTCACACTTAAAAAAAGCAAACTGTAGAAACTGAAATAGTGCAGAAAGGGGCAACTGAAATGATCAAGGGACTGGAACAACTTGTTTATGGGGAAAAGTCACATCTGTGATTATTCAGCTTAATAAAAAGGTGAATAAGGGGAGACAAGATAAATAGTACATGCTATCCATGCGATGGAGAAAGAAATACTTTACTTCCTTTCATAGAACCAAAGGTCATCTTGTGATGCTACTTGCTGGGAGATTCAGGAAGGGAGTACTTCTTCACACAGTGCATTGTTAACCTGTGGACATTATTGTCACAGGAGGTGGTGATGGCCACTAGGTTCAATGAGGACTGGACAAATTCATTTAGAGTAAGACTATCAGTGTTCTGTTTCAGTGTCATATTGCAATAATTGACTGTAAATCTGTCCTAATGGTCTTTTTGATAAAATCAACTTTTCAAATTCTGTTACATCTCTTATGGCACCTCTTCCTAATTGCATTTCCCTTTTCAGTCTTGAAACCAGCTGAAAGTAAGGGAGCCATTCTATCTTTTCCCCTTCATCTTTTCATTTTTGCCAAGGCTTAATTCCTCCTTGTTGGTTAATCGTATCTCCATATGTTACAACATCATTGCTTTTCCTTAAATGCTTGTCATAGTATGCTTCCATGGAGAGATTGGAGGGCTAATTCTTCTCCTTGTATAATACCAAATTCTTACTAAGTATCTCTGATTGCATGGCTTTTATTTTTCGTTGAATCTTTTCTATTGATATTTTCACCCACAAATAATTGTGTAATCCTTCTTCTAAATTTGCTGTTTCCAAGTTTACTATCTTTCATCAGGATTCTTAATCCAGTCTATAATCCAAACCGGGTTGGCTACATTGTAATACAATTTAATATTAGGTACTGCTACACTTCCTCTTTCTTTTTCATCTTGTAATACTCTATTTCTTGGTTTTTTTCAAATGAAGTGTTCAATGTTGTTGCCATTCTTGTAAGGTTTTTCACCCATCTTTTGGGGTAATATACCACCAGAAATACAAGTAGATCGTATGTCAATTTACCACATGCTTTCGCATGTGGTAAATTTTAGGTCCTTCATCTATAAGACTTCCTATTGGTGGGTCAATAGTTCTTCTTGAAGATTCTGCATTCAGCTTTTCATGCAAATTATGTCAGTATCATAGTTAAACACTTGTTTATAAATATGTCCAAGGAGGTGTTCTGAATTATTTTAAATTATAATTTCAAAGTCCATAAAATATATTATGCCTTTTCCAGTTTGAGTTCCCTTTTCTAATCTTGAGGCTTGCTGATGATAAAGGAGCCATTCTGTGTTTTCCTTCATCTTTTAATTCTTGCCATGACTTAATCTGGCCTTGTTAGTTGACCATGTTGCTCTAAGTTATAAGATCATTGTTTTTCCTAGAATGTTTTCCATGGTATGCTTCTATTGGTGACATCATGGAGTACCAAATTTTTATTAAAACATTTCTAAATGCATGACTTATTTGAAGTCAATGCTTTTTAACTGATTCTTTAGCCCATAGTTGATTGTGTATTCCTTTCTCTAGGTCTGCAATTTCCAATTTCACTAATCTTTCATTGCAATTAAAAATCCAGTCTGTAATCCATATTAGGCCTGCCACATAATAGTATAATGTGATGTCTGGCACTGCAAGGCATCCTCTTCTTTTCATCTTGTAGCACTTTAACCCTTGAGCTTT